GAGCCCTGGTCCGGGAAGATCCCAAATGCCGCGGAGCAGCTAAGCCCGTGAGCCACAACTACTGAGCCTGTGCTCTAGAGTCCACGAGTCACAGCTACTGAAGCCTGTGCGCCTAGAGCCCGTGCTCTGCAACAAGAGAAGCCACCGCAATGAGAAGCCCGCGCACAGCAACAAAGACCCAGTACAGCCAAAAATAAATAAATTTATTTTAAAAAAATGTATATAGAGTAAATAAATCAAATGAATAAAAAAGAAGCTTTAAAGACTATAAGCCCCTTGAGGAGAGACAGTTCTTTTAAAAATACTACTTCAACATTCTAGCCTGTGTCTAGCTCAGTACTGAGAACATAATGAGGTCCAGATTGAGGCCTGTGCTCTAGAGCCTGTGAGTCACAACTACTGAGCCCATGTACCACAACTACCGAAGCCTGTGCGCCTAGAGCCCGTGCCCCACAACAAGAGAAACCGCTGCAATGAGAAGCCCGCGCACTGCAACGAAGAGTAGCCCCCGCTCGCCACAACTAGAGAAAGCCTGTATTGTAGCAACGAAGACCCAACTCAGGCAAAAATAAATAAATAAAAATAAATCTATAAAAAAATATTAAAAAAAAAAGACTCAGGAGGGACTTCTCTGTGGCGCAGTGGTTAAGAATCCGCCTGCCAATGCAGGGGACACGGGATTGAGCCCTGGTCCGGGAAGATCCCACATGCCCCAGAGCAACTAAGCCTGTGCTCTAGAGCCTGCGCGCCACAATTACTGAGCCCATGTGCCACAACTACTGAAGCCCGCATGCCCAGAGCCTACGCTCCGCAACAAGACAAGCCACCACAATAAGCCCGCGCACTGCAATGAAGAGTAGTCCCCACTCACCGCCACTAGACAAAGCCTGCACGCAGCAACGAAGACCCAACGCGGCCAAAAATAATAAATAAATAAATTTATATATTAAAAAAAAGACTCAGGAGCCAGCCTGATAAGCTCCTAATGGACAAAAACAGGACAACTGAGTATCAACAAGGATGAATAACAGTAATGCACTGCAACACTTCAAATATGCTTAAATCCATTGGTCACCTTTAGAGGATGCTAAGAGAACCAACTCATTCTTCTGAAAACTGGTAAGTGAAGGGCAAGAATCAAGCATTTAGTCTGCCATTCCTATCAGATCTGTACCTCAAGGAAACTAAATATTTGTTGAGGGGAAATTTTTTTTTTTTTGCGGTACGCGGGCCTCTCACTGTTGTGGCCTCTCCCGTTGCGGAGCACAGGCTCCGGACGCGCATGCTCAGCGGCCATGGCTCACGGGCCCAGCCTCTCCGCGGCATGTGGGATCTTCCCGGACGGGGGCACGAACCCGTGTCCCCTGCATCGGCAGGCGGACTCTCAACCACTGCGCCACCAGGGAAGCCCGAGGGGAAATTTCTTTTTATAGAAGCATTCCAGCTAATAATTGAAGAAGAAGTTATAGTGTTTGGTATTATTTTGCAACCCATAATGAATTAATAGATATAGGCAAAGATCATCAGTGGCTGGTAACAGTACCAAAGAAGAAACAACCAGCACTGTACGTCTCCTGGTAGAATTACACACCACCAGCTATTAGTCTTGCCCCGCACCCACAAGAAAAATTGAACCTTGATCTGATCAAGCCTGTAGATCTAAAAGCCAATTTACAGGAAGGCACCGAGGAACATGTTAAACGATATCACGTGGATACAAGCAGCACAATCCAGACTATGGGAGACTATACAACAAATGACAGGGATTCTTCAACAAAAATTCCAAGGAAAAAGAAAAAGAAAGGAAGGAGAACTTATAAAGAGACTTAACAGACATATTAACCAATCACTTCTTTTGAACTTAATTCAACATTCTAGCCTGTGTCTAAATGTTGAAAACACTAACTGAAAAAACAATTATGAGTCATTTGGGAAGTACAGACACTGAACACTTAATGATGGTCAGGAAGTCTTTTAGTATAATCATGGTATTGTCTTTTTTTTTTTTTTTTTTTTGCGGTACACGGGCCTCTCACTATCGTGGCCTCTCCCGTTGCGGAGCACAGGCTCCGGACGCGCAGGCTCAGCGGCCATGGCTCACGGGCCCAGCCGCTCCGCG